CGTCTGTATTTATGTATATGCGAAGTACTCCCTCAGATTTTGAGATATCGGTCTGAAATTTTACACACGCTCTTTTCGACCCAAGAAGCTGCTCATTTGTCGAAACCGCCGATATCTGGCTGCTGTAGGGTATAGCAGCCATACAAACTGATTGATCAAAACCAAGTTCTTGTCTGGAAAACCTTTTTTTTAGTTACGATAATGACGCGCAAGAGGTTATATTCCTCATACTATGGGTTTAACTAAAGCCAATTCTAAAAATGCCATGGGACACGGCTAACGGTTTCCTTCCAATAAATGTAAGTTAAAGCCTATAAATTCGACACGATAACTCAATCCAGATGTCTATAATGAGAGATCGTCCTTATTCCTACAAATTTCATAGTTTGAACAGTGCGATAGTTCCAATTTGAATTCCATTGGAATTTATGGTATATGCCCCATAACAATTCATATATGTTCTTTCACAACTGTGTCAACACAAACGCGCTTCCAGTATTGTTAGTCGATAAACTCGTCGTGTTTTCTTTTGTATTCCATACATGTAAATCTGTAAATTTAAGTAATCATAAAGGTATGCTATTTTAAATGCTTATTCTCAACCCCCTTAAACAAAATGTGTGTTAGTAGGAACAGCCGTTAACAACCTTTCGGTGTCAAATGGCCGATTAACTAATCAAAAACAATAAGACTCGTACTTGACTCGTTAAGCTTTGGCTACAATGTGCACTTATTGAAAATGTCATTAAATCTACTGTGTAGCAAAAGGTTTTTGCATATTCGAAATTTTAATTATGCAATGGCCATTAAGAGATACTCGTAAAGCCAGCAGCCCAACAGGTGAGCAGTTCAGCTGCATAAAAGGGACAACACGATAAGTCGAAATAGGAAAATACTTATGTGCGGTATATCACTGCGAATGGAATGAAAATGCAATTGCATCGCTGCGCCAGAACACAAAAGATGTCAAAAATACTAAACGTGTCTATGCAGGTGCGTGTAAGTGTGGGGCAGAGAGGAATGCAAGGATCTTCAATGCATGGGACAGTGTTTTGCGCGGTTGTTTACATGTGGAACCGATGACCATTCATCAATTGTTTACATACATATTCACTATATGCATATAGTGTGTGCGTTTGTGTGTGTATGTGAGTGCAAGTGGGTAACCTCTTCACATGCATAACTAATTGACAAATTAACACGACAAAGTCTACATGCTATAAGGCAAAAAAGCATTGCGCGTCACCGGTTATTTGCTTATGGATTTGTACACACACACACATATATCCAAAAAAATTATATATCGCTGCCTTGTACCAAGTCGTTGACATACTAACTCAACGATGCAGTAAAAATATTGTTATACTAACGATCAATTAGCATCCATTTATATAAATAAGCGCTGTAAAGTGACGCGCTTTAGTGGATTCCTGTTGGCCGCCTTATTTGGTTTCTGATTGTTGGATTTATAAATTTTCATGAAATACAGACACACGGTCACATTACATAATAAAAAAAACAGCATACAAAGTTTGGTGCAATAGTGCGCCATTTTCCATGTGTTACGGGGTTATATCACTTACAAGTCAGAAACGCGTTTTTTTTTTTTGTTTGAAGAGGCATTTTAAATAATTAATGAACAAGACAAATGAACATTTGCAGAACTCAATGTACTTTAGTAATCGGAGATTCATTTCGAAAAATTAAGATATGGATTACCTTGTTTCCGTACCCGATCTCCAGAAGGACCTGGCGAAAAAACAAAAAAAGGTGTCTGGCGTTGAGGAAAATTTTGCTTTAAATTATCTAAAATTCCAGTACTTAGAAAATATATTATTATTATAGCTGAATAAAGGTACTGATCGAAGGACTGGTAAAAACTCTGATTTTTAATAAAATGGCGGTTCCCAAAAAACGTCGTTTTTTTATACCCTGAACAGGGTATATTAATTTTGCCACGAAGTTTGTAACACCCAGAAGGAAACGTCGGAGACCATATAAAGTATATATATAAATGATCACCGTGACGAGCTGAGTTGATTTAGCCATGTCCGTCTGTCCGTCCGTCTGTCCGTCTGTCCGTCCGTCTGTATATACGCGAACTAGTCCCTCAGTTTTTGAGATATCGATCTGAAATTTTGCACCTGTACTTTTCTCACAAAGAAGCTGCTCATTTGTCGGAACCGCCGATATCGGATCACTATAGCATATAGCTGCCATACAAACTGAACAATCGGAATCAAGTGCTTGTATGGAAAACTCTTTCATTTGACGAGGTATCTTCACGAAATTTGGCACGGATTATTAGTTAAGGCAACAATGTAATCTCCGAAGAAATTATTCAGATCGGATGACTATAGCATATAGCTGCCATACAAACTGAACAATCGGAATGAAGTGCTTGTATGGAAAACTCTTTAATTTGACGAGGTATCTTCACGAAATTTGGCATGTATTATTATTTAAAGCATTAATCTAATCTCCGAAGAAATTGTATGGATCGGATGACTATAGCATATAGCTGCCATATTAAATGAACGATATGAGTAAAGTGCTTGCATGGAACATTTTTTTATTTGACGAGATATCTTCACGAAATTAGGCACGAGTTATTGCTTAAGGCAACAAATTATTCTCCACAGAAATTGGTCAGATCAGATCACTATATCGTATAGCTGACATACAAATTGAACGTTCGGAATCAAGTTCTTGTAAGGGGCCTTTGTTCTTGTGAAGGGTAATATAGCTTCGGCGCAACCCAAGTTAACGTTTTTTCTTGTTTTTAATTCAAAAATTACTGACCTAAAAGCAAATTATGTATACTTTAATGTGTGATATAGATGCATGACGGGCAACGGCTTCATTTAATGTATCAGGGTTTTCTGTGTTCTGATTTTAAAATAATGGGTATAGGAGTCAAACAAAATCGATTTTGTTGTTTTTCATGAAAAAAAAAATAGAGAATTTAATTTAAAGTTTTAAAGTTTCTAACCTAATCTGAACAGGTTTGTTACTTCAAACAAAACTATTTGATAATTTTATTTCAATAAAAACATTAATGGCTGGAAATCGGCAGGTATAAACATTTATGCATTATGGCTAATAGCGAACTTGCGAGTATCAAGCAAAAATAAATAACGCCAAAAGTGCTGATAACAACCAATGAACATCGGTACATATTTATGTATGGCATTTGCAATGCTTGTAGAAGTAATAACTAAGTTCAAGAACACATCTTAGCTGTGTGTTTTCTACTTTGTATCTAAGTATTAGTTTATATAGAAATATATTTGTATATATATGTTATTTGTATTTGTATTTATTATGTATGAGCGATAAACTTAATCATTTATCTACTTATGTACTCAAAATATAATAGACGAAAGAAGAATTTCCAGAGGCTTGGCCACACAACGCATTTAATTTAGTTGATTGCTTGCCTAACATTCTTCTTTTGAGGCAAATGCAAATATGAGATAGCACAAATGACGTCAGTAGCAAAATATTTCAATTGTTTACTAATATTTTTCAAAATTGTGCAATAATTTCGCTGAAAGTAAAAAGTTATTGAAAAGCTTTCCTACTACCTACTCAAAGCCTGTTGCACTTTTATAAAAATCCGAATTAGTTCGGCGATGAGCAATCTTTTATTACTTGCTAACTTATTCCGAACATGTAAAGGCGTGGCAGTAATGGCGCATATATTTGCACGCGTCAATTTTTTGTGTCTTTGTACCAAGCCCTTTTGCTTTTCAAATAATAATTTATTATTAGAGGTATAATTTAGTTAGAAAAAAAAACGAATAGTGACCATATAGTCGTCAAAATACTAGCACTATTAATTACTTCGTAAACGGATATTCAAATAGAAATTACAATCTGATAAATGAAAAATCTTTTAAACGTGAACTTCTATAGAATTTTAACAAAAACGTGCTAAATGTGCAGAGTAGGTAAATATTAGTAATTACATGTAATAACGCCCTAATGGAGGACATCGTAACGTTAAATAAAATAAATTGACTAAGCAAATTTCGAAAAATCTCGCTTCAAAGCAACGTGACTTTTTGCAATGAACTTCAATGCCTATCATGCCTTTGTTGGTGTGGCAATACACCACAGCTTCATTTAGTTAGTTAGCTTTTGCAATTAATAACACACCATAATTGTATGTTAAGTAAGTTGTAAGCAGAAGAAATTTTTTTTTTGTGGATTGTGGAACAACTTGCGATTTGCAGTCTCTAAGCCTGGCCGCTATCGTTACTCCAACAGCAAATATTTCGTTATCTCATCTGCTGCGTTAGCGCGCAATCACCAGAAACCACTTTGCCACTCGATATCAGTATACTCATCTGCAACAAAAACAAAAAAGCCAATTAACTATACAAAAACCAAGCGGAAAAATAAAAAAAGCTGAAGTTTATTGCGGCTTGTCATGAATGTCGCTTTGACACGCTGTAACCTGCAACGAACAACTTTGTCAGCTACCCGTTCTATTGCGCCACATTTGCCTGCCACAGAGCATCAAATAGTTTCGCCGTCATTCTCTTCGCCAGGCAGATAGCAACTACTGACTGACACTTTTACCGCATGGCGTTTTTTGCATTTGTCAGAGTTTATCTTTTTATGTCCTCAGTAAGGCTGTTGAGAAAGAGTAGAGTATTGTTGTTGTGCCTGAAGTAGTTTTCGTTGGTCTGCGGCTTCATAATTTTGCATGTGATGTATGCCTCTTGTCTTGGCATTCTTCTAAGGCAAAATTGAACGAGTATATGTATATGAACTTACTAGTAAGGTGGGTGTCGAATTCCGTCAATTCGGAAATTAGTCAAAAACATTATGATTTTCATCGTTTTGTAATTCTAAATGAAAATATATAATACATTTATTTATCACTCCTTATGTGGTAAAAAATATCGGTATAAACCCGCAAATCCGTAATTTTAAGAAACGTTATTAGAAATGGGAAAATTATCTAAATTTGCTGACTTATTATTTTTCAGAGTGAAAATGCTATAGGTGCTCATCGCGTGTTTGATAAAACGTCATTTTCCTGTTCTGGACGCCCATCGGGTTACTACGCAGATGTTGAAACTGGATGTCAGGTATATATGCTCTTACAAAGATGACCTGCAATTGGCAATTTTAAACGTATTCAAAATTTCTTTGGCAGGTGTACCATATGTGCGACGGATTGGGACGCCAATTCAGCTATTCGTGTCCCAATACAACGCTTTTTCAGCAGCGCATGCTAATCTGCGATCACTGGTACATGGTGAATTGTTCCCGAGCAGAGAGCGACTATGCAGCTAACTTACTAATTGGTATGTATGACTTACTAAAAGCAAAACTAGATTAGTGGGTCTAGGACAACAACAACATCGGCTTGCTATTCACAAATTATCGCAATAAGCTTCAGTTGCAATTAATCAGAACTTATTAACATATTTTTGTCTTTAATGCAGGGCAACGGGATAAGCCGTTTGTGAATGATGAGGAAAATAGTTTGCGTACACCCCGCCCTGATCTCTTGGATCGACCTTATGCACCAGATTACTCTGGAGAATCATTTAGAGATCAGTACAAGGTTTGTAAAATTAACTCTAAATTCTTAGGGTTTTTTAAATTTTAAATTCAATATTTAGATAATTGTGGTAGACATCTCAACAACTTCCTATAAATTTTTTAGCAACTTCCGGCGATCCTGAATCAAATACAAGTTGGCGATACTCCAAAGATTCAGGACAAATTTAGTGTTGTTACGCAGTTGACTCCGGGCCAGCAACACTGGAAAATACCATCACCGAGCCGAACTATACTGCCACCAGCCTACGAAGCACAGATGTCGGACGACAGCACTTCGCAAACAAATAGTGGAAACGTACGTTTTGTACCCAAAACGCAACCAACACCACCAGCCGTAGCAAAGCCGAAGTTCAATCAACCGAAATTCAATTCAGAGTCAGTGATTGCAACCGCATCAGCAAGTCGCGGACAGTCGACCAATCGCTTCAACAGCGCAGCGCTACACCAACGCGGCCAATCAGGTGAGCACGAGGACTTAGGTACGAGCCACAGTACTCGTTACAATACATCTTCTGATTTCAACTCTGCTGAGCAACCGAACAGCAAAACGGCAAGTGCCCTTAATAAGAACCATGTTAAAAGTACGATTACTTCGACAACACCTACAATTACAACAAGTTCAGCCACTTCGATTACGTCTACCACAACAAAAACACCTACCAATACTGCAGTTACGACAAATTTGCCTTATAAAGTACCATCTAAAGTGTACGAGCCGCCATTCCTGTATCCAATTTATAATGAAAACGATACGATGAGCACACAGACATCACTACGCACTTCGCCTGCTACACCCTTCACAGCCTCGCCTACTTTCAACAAGCTTACACCCACAACTCCCATACCAGCGCCAAATCGGCCAACAACGCTAGCGGGCAAACCTTTCACCGTATCGAACGGCGGTGTTACCACAAAAGCGCCAAGTTTGGGAGGACGTAGCCAAAATAATTTAATTCAAACTAGTTTCAGTCAAATTTCGAAAGATATACGCACTCCTACACCAGCGCAAGGTTTTAAACCGCCTACACCTCGTCCACCTATAAGCACAACGACAAGCATCCCAAAAAACTTGGAGAGCTCCCCTTTTGACTACAGTATTCCTACCACAAATCGCCTAAATTTGCCTACACCATTCAGAAATAGTTCAGACACAAACGGAGCCCAAAATATCAAAACGCCAGCCAAAGAACTTCTGCCCCCGCACCAAGAGTTTGTGCAACATGACATTGCTACCACACAGGGGCCGCCTATCTACTATGAGTGGAAAATGCCGTCAAATGGACTTGAACCACCCAAATTGGATCCGCCAATTGGTGTTGATGGACGCGAATATCCCGAAGCGACATTCGATTACAGTGCCATCGGTGGTACAAACAATAACGCAAATGCTACTAACCGTAAGCAAATCACGAATATCATTAGCTTACCACCAACAAAAGCGCCGGGTGAAAATAATCCAATCGCACGTACTCCTATTTCGCGTTCCATCAAAGAGACGGGGCAGCCAAATAGCGTACACCGTGTTAATGCTGAAAAGCCGAAGGTGGCAACTACGTTGGTGGTAGCGACAGATCGCTCCGACACAATATCCATGCCTGTTTCGGATATCATACAGTTGCGCAAAGACTACTCGGTGCCCGAATATCTATTTCCATTAGAACCGATAGGCCGTACTGGCTATTTGTCCACGGATGCGTACAACTCATTTCGACTGAAGATACCTGAACATGACGACGAAGAGCCGGAAGACCACAGACATTGGTTCGGCGAGAATCCTAAATGTCCCGAGTGTCATCCATCTTTTGTAGTGCCTGGTACTTGCGAACCCTGTATACGGAGATAGATGGAGGATGAACCCCTGAGGTTTTAGAGCCGACGGGCATTAAGTATTCACACGAATTCAAAGTTTAGCACAATAATAAATGACAATTCTCTTTGTTAGTTTCAATGCCTTGCTCTTTATTGTAGTTTTACGAATACAGAGATGCATATGCATATATGTTATATAGAGCTCCTAATTTTTACTTAAATTAAGATAGGGAGCGAATCCAAGAGTGAGCCATTAGCTATACTGCAAACATACACGTACCTATATTTAAACATAAGTATATATATAAATATATATATGTATATATATATATATAACTGCTATATTTGTAAATGGCTGCTACTATATCATGAACAATAGCTGATACATAATTAATAAGTATATAAACTACTAACATATGTAGAAGTCGCATTGCTAGCGCTCGTGCCTGCATTTTTTCCTCTCCTCTTCATTGAAAGTACACATAAGCGATTATTTAAAATTGATTAGTATCAACTTATTTTTTCATTTAATCAACTAAGTAGTCGCAACTGATTTTCCCAGGAAGCATTCAAAAAAACTATGGCTTGCAATATGATACAAAAAATCCTCATAAATTTGCTCTTCTAATTCATTCTTATTTGTGCTTCACTTATAGGTTTTTAAGTAATCTAAAAAATAGTTTTATTACAATAAAGGTTAAGTTAAGTTTGTAATATATGTATGTATATCAAACCCTCATATATTCGTACGAAAGTTAATGAATAAAATGAAATTCAAAATGGAAAAATCCGTTTATTTTTGTACAAGTTTCATATTACAATTACATTACAATATATATTCAGAAACATCTATTACTATTAAGGATGAAACCTCGCTGTTTGGACTGTTATTAAAGCATATCTTAATGAGCAGAATGTCATGCTATTCAAAGTTTAGTGATTACCTTTTGAAGGTTTTTTGTCGTTTTCTTTCAAAATTTTGTATATATAGTAAAATAAATAAAGTATTCGCTGAAACAAATTAATATGAGATAAGCAGCCACCGTACAAAACTAATCTAAAAAGAAATTTTATCGTGGTGATGACCTTTTGAATATAATAATACCTTTGAAAATAACATACTACAATTTCAAATCAAATAGTTTTTGAGTTACCGGGTTTTTCTCGGAACAGAAGTTGTTGAAGAAGTTTTTAGTAATCAAAAAGACAAAAGCTATGCAAAAGCTTCCAAATACGCAAAATACTATTCCAAAGGTTCAAAGTAGTCACCTTCCAGCTGTTGCATTGGTTTGGTGGTGAGTCTTCTGTAAAACCGTAACACCTCTTCACTTCTGGAAAAAGAGGTTTAAACATGGGTAAAACTGTACCAGCCACATGTTTATGAAAATGTGCTAAAACAGCTAAGCAATACTCTCTTTTCTTGGAGAGCATTGAATCTTTCAGCAAAATTCTGCTTAGGCACACAATCCAAAAACAACCCAGCAAGGGCTTAAAAGAAATATTCCTAGTTTCATTGTTGCAAATGGTTGGCCGTCTGGAAGTGCAGAAGTGAATCCAATGGATTAAGTTTGTGGTCAGAGTTGGAAAACAAGAAATTTCTCCCTTAAAATTTGGAGAGTGCAAAAAATTCCAGGTTCGAGCAGCGTAGTATACAGTTTTATTATAGTTTCATAAACTTGCAACAGAACTTATGGCAGCACTCAGTATAAAGACCCATCCTGACGACTTCAATTCTATCAAAGAAGATTGGCGAATAAATCTATATAATGAGAATGGACACGTAAACAAAACCATTTTGTTAAGTTGATAATCCAACCTCAACTACTAAACCGAAAACTAAAGATTTTGGAGCGAAGTATATTTCCAAACTGCTGAAAATCTGGCAATACAAAATTCGTATAATCCCAATTGAAACACAGTTACGTTTGTATATATGTAAGTATATCAAGGAAGATATAAATTTATTAAAATCTTTTTAATTAACTTTTTTTTTTTTTGGAAATTATTCCTTTTTAAAAAATCAAAACATTTTTAAAATTATATATTTGCTTTTCTCTTCACAAATATGGTAAACATTTCCATGTGTATGTATGTATTTTGTAACATGCGAAAACATACGCTAGGCAATTTTATTTTAAAAATATGGGTGTTTCTACATGTGTTGAATGTTTTTACAATTAACTACAATGTAATATTCTTTTTTTTTTTGTTTTTTCTTTATAAATTCAATTCACTTACGTGCTTTACACTTATCAAGGCAATAAGATGCGTCTACAATATAGGTATATAAATTGCATCATTCAGGTATACACGTATTGAGTGGTTAACACCAAATATATTAGCGTAAAAAATAAATGTAAATGTTAAGGCAAAAACTCTTTTCGTGAACCACAAACAGCGACGCAACATATCGTTTTTGTTTAATTTAAGAAACAGATTAAGCTATAGTTTTTGCTTCAATGAGCATACGATGATGTATTTACAAATTCATGAAGATAGTGCTTAATTGAAGTCGAATGGAGAAAGTAGGAAAATGGCAACAAGCGACGAAAATTTAAACTTTAAAAATTAAACTTGCATTACAATTCAAGTTTGATTTTAATGGACAGTAATAAATTCGTTAGAGTTTGAGTTTTTAACGTTCCCATTTCAATTCGGAAAATGTTGCAAGCGATTTGGTTGTGGAAATTATTATAATTTTCGTTGATTTTTATATAATGAAAAATACTACTAACTTATAAAATATAAATAAATGAAAAAAATCGGCTTTAGTTCGCATTAATAACTACTAACAAAACGTTTGTGATATTCAATTTGTGGTTTGCTTTGCTAATGTTTGTACAATACGAGAATTAAGCAAATAAATAAAAATAAAGTAAAACTAAATGTGAATGAACTCATTGCAGATTTGTGAGACTTTTCCTCTTTACATCATTAAAATTAATTTTAAGGCACTTTTTTTTACTTCGACTAACATTAAAATTTTATTTATCAAGACGTACACATTGTTACATACATTACACTTCTTTTGGCCACGCATCTGAGACGCCGTACGATTATACTTGATTATACTATATGCATAGGTTATGTATGCGCGTACGAGCCCAGATCGTGCCAAATAGCAACAACACAAGCTGAATATTGCTTTACATTTCGATTGATCGGAGGGCCAGCGAACGCATTGTGAAGGCCCTACTCTCACTTCGTTTGGCGCAAATTCGCTACAGAAACATATTAACTATACATTTTATTTTATATATATTTTTTTATAATGAAGCAGTAGCAAATTTGCACAAACCGACGTCTCCACAATTGTTGCAAATAGTAAATATTCACCTTTCTTTTTTGTATTTTTCGACACGTTTTAAAATTTTTTCATTAAATTTTTTAATATCTGGCATTCGAACTTCCTTAGTGCGTTGAGACGCCGTCTGCTTGGACCTCTCCTAATTACTAACGGCGATTTCCATTCATATGTGGTATGTATATGAACTAAATAAATACATATCATACATATCTATTTGTTTGCACTCAATTGCGAATTTGTGATTTTTTAGTTTTAACTTTTAATTTTCACTGACTAGCATTTCACGTCATTCTATCGTTAAATTTTAACGGGTACCTTAAATTTTAAGCATCCCTCCTATTTTTCGCATTAGTATTGTTTTTGTGTTATTTGCTTTTTATATTTATTCCACGCACGTTATCCGTCTTTCCAAAACAATTGCGTCCATCATCTTTTCAACCTTTTTTAACACCTATTCGCAAGCATTATTCATTTTTTTGTAGGTTAGAGAATTTTTAGTTGCCAGAAAACATTAAACAAAGCCACGCCCACATATCCACCAAAAATCGTGGTTCAAAGGCTAGTGCGATTGATCGGTGTTCCCTCCCTCTTGTCACAAGGATCGTATAAATAAATACTGGGCACCCAGAGTGCCGAAGGTGGCACGATAGTTTTGTCTATTTTGTCGACATCGCCCTTACGCATCAACTCCTTGCACTTGTTCTCCATGTTGTCACCGCAACTACAGTCGGTTTGCTTCGGCTGTGCAACTAGCACTATCTTATGCGCCTTCGTGACATCGACATCGCAAATCACAGCCGCTTCGTGATTGCAGTGGAAATAACGATTCGTTAAATAACCGTCGACATAGATCTGTACACATAGAGAATGTATGAGTATGGATTATTCGTTGGGTCACACAAAATATTATTCTACCTCGTAGCCGCTAATACCGCAGCAATCGTGGATCACCCATTTGACGTATAGCGACGAAATGCCTAGGTCGGAGACTTCTGTGATTGTAACGGGAAAGCTTTGACGTGGACAGACCCTAGCTCTTGTTGGTGTCGTGGTCTAAAAAACAATATAAAGTATAACTCTTTGATGTAAACAAAATTTTAATCAACATAAAAATAGACGAACGAACGTTCTTATGTATTGTATATATATGATAAAGTCATTAAGTAAACCTCTTGACTTGATCTGTTTGTAAGTAATTACCTGTTCAGCAATTTTCTTGCGCCGCGCTTGCTCCATTGCGTCCAGATCCATTATTATGGAATCGATAAAGAATCTCTGTCAAATAAAATATTCACAATAACATAGATACACAGTGGCCTTAAAAACAGATTTAATGGCGTATTTAGTTATATCGTACGTACCAACTCACTACAACTGCATTGGTCTTTCGCCTGATTCTGAGTCGCAATGGTTGAACAGTTTTGTTTATCACGCATCGCCTGGCAATGGCAGCAGCTGCATTCAGTACAATCACTCTTCGTTTTGTTCGTTTGGTTAGTACGCTGGCTGGCAGTGGCGGATGCAGCGTCTGAGACATGAGTTTGCGATTGGCTCGGTTCTGTGACTATCCCAGCATCATCGCCGTCGATACATTCGCATTCTTCGTCATCAGCCAGTTGTGAGTCTTGGCCAAACATGGTAGTCGGTTGATAAAAGCCATGAACCGGACAAAGGCATGGTTGCTTGCAGGTGCATTCTTCTGGGCAACCTTTGCCACATACAATCGGACTTATATCAAAAGTTGCGCCTGCACCATATCGATTATCTTCCTCACAAGCCTGACTAGAAGGTTCAGTGCGATTTTTGGGGTCTGCAGCGAGTGCAAGGGTCGCTATCTCTTCGATTAGCTCAAGATCTCCTATACAACTGCAGGGCATTCCTTTGGAGCCACAAAAGCTTTCGGTATTCTTTTCACCAACCTTTACCTTCTTCAAAGACTTTGTCGGCCCTTCAGATACTGCAGTGATTTGCATCTTTTGTGGCGGAGGGGTAGGCACGTTAGACAAAGGTACACATTGTGAGCAAGGTGCACAAGTTAGTAAGTTTGGTGTGATTATGAGATTACATGGCAACTGCAGTGGTATATTAACAGGCTGACCCACAGGTTGCGGCTCAGACATTTCAGAATGAGCAATCGATTGATTTGGACTGGTACCTTTACGGCTTGGTGTAAATGTTATTTTAAAACCGGAGTTGAAAGGACCGTTATCTGCCATCGACTCTTCTGAGCCAAGTGCGCCGATATTACGCATTTTTGTTGTTGCAACGCCACAACCGCAGCCAGTACCATTTTCGTCACCTTGATTGATTAACTGAACGACTTCGCGTAGCAATTGAAGTATAGCTACATTTCGTGGAGGATTCGCATTCGCTTTGGTCTTATTCTCTTGTATTGATGGAGAGCATTCGCAATCTGCAAAGCGATTCTTTGTTTTACTACCACTTTTACCTTTGCCTTTGGCCGCTGCCGATGGCATGCAATCATCCCGATCTGAAGAGGCCGAACTAAGAGAAAAGAACTCTTCCTCACTCAAATTATTTTTACCGCTATAATTTGACGACGCCATTCCACTTGGTAAACGTATTTCATAAGACGGCCTTGCCGGTGGGTGAGCCGAAGATATGGAAATTTCAAATGGACAGCGACAGCTCAGCTGACCACCTGATTCAGATGTTGATCGAATGCAATATGCTTTGGTGAAAAGACCGGCTGTTGTTACAGTAGAAGCTTGTGAATTTTGAGAATCTTGCTGACTGGACTTGCTAGCCGAAGCTTGCTCAACAGGCTGTTGATTTAAGCAGTTCACAAACTGTTGCAATTGCTGTTGTTGCTGCTGATATAACTGTATTTGCTGCTGCTGTTGTTGTTGTTGAACTGATGGTTTCTGCTGTTGGTGCAATTGTTGTATTTGTTGTTGCGGCATTGCATGTAGGGGATGTTGTGATGGCTGAGGAGGCTGCTGTGGTGGATATGGGAATTGATGATGTTGGTTTTGCTGTTGGAAAGAACGCTGACAGGAACATTGTACCGGAGTTAACGGCTGCTCAGCTGGTGTTGGCTGATTACTGATAGCGGATACAGGTGTTTCCATAATTACCCGATAATTAGACGGATAGTTGATGCAGGACATCGCTGCGTTCTGTGCATGGGGTTCTATACGTAATTGGATGGTTTGGGTGCCGCTTAAATGTGCGTTATCTCTGTGAGTATCAGTTTGGGAGCACTTCTCTGCAGTGCCTGAAAACAGAAGAGAAATACAAAAGACAAGTCGCCAAAAAACGCAAATTAGATAACAGAAAATATTTCGACAAAATCTACGAATTATTTCAATAATTTTAATTTCAAAATTTCGTCCGAGCTTGTCAAAGAAAAAAACAAATATAAGGTAGATGTAATAATCGAAAATGGTTTAGAGGGGTGTAAATAATTTCGGTTAAGTATTTCTACAAATTGGAAATTCAACAACTCTCCAATAAAGGTAAACCGTCTGAGGGGATACGAGATCAAACCTACTTCTGGTTTTGAAACCTGTTTCAAAAACTTGTGGAAATGAGTCTCTTTGCAATTTCAAATTCGAAAACTGAACAATTTATTTGACATTGCTTTTACAACGCAATATTACTCTTTTTAAATCGTGTAGTTACATACTTATATATTACAATTTGCTATTTTTTCTCTATTTTTAATTCAAGGCAAGTTTTTAATATTTCTGAGTAGTACTAAGGATACATGAAACTATTGGGTGCTCGTGCGTTTGTATTCTACAACATCTTCCAAATTGACGGGATCACCGCGTACTCGCTCTCTCAACTTGTCATCGGGACTCCACATCTCTTCACCAGTCATTTCCAAATACTTTGCTTCCGCTCTTTCGCGGCATGGACAACAATCAAAATATGATGTATTGCTGCACTTAGCTCGTGACGTGTAATCCGCAAATATAGAACCTTTCATACGACATTTACAAACCTTGATCTTTTCATGTTTTATTTGATCGATTTGGCTATCCGTGGCACGTTTTCGCCAAGGGCATAAGCAGCAACCACAATTATGTGGACAAAACACGTTACCCTCTTCGTCAATTAGTGGACTCGGATCATAACGACACGGCGAACAAATGTGAATGTCTTTGTGTTGAGGTAATGCCTTGTATATTCGATGTTTCACGACAGGCTCTATTTCTATTGGTGGTATTAATTCGCCAGCCTCCGAGCCAGGCATAACCATACACGTGCCGCAAGATCGTCCGCCTCTTGCTGGAGGTGCAAATAAACAAGTACCGCACGTTCGAATGTTCGAGAGTTTGGGTGCTGCTACTAAGCAAGATCCACATGATTTATTTCTACTTGACGGTGAAGAAGTTACAAATTTACACGTGCCACAAGAGCCTTCGGCTGAACTTGTTGTTGCTCCTTGACCACATATGTTACAGGGAGCTCCGACTGGTATTGGCGGGCTTTCTGGAGCACGGATTTTTTTACAAATTCCACAAATATCTCTAGAATCGGGTTTTGTTGGTCCCTTCTTACAAATATTACAAGGTCCTTCTATTTCTTCGGGTTCCATCGCAGAGGGACCACTTCTCAGTTGCGAACATATCCCGCATGGTCCCTTTATTTCTTGCATTTGGGGAGATAAGTGATCATGTATTACAGTAGACTCGATTCCCCTTGAACAAATTCCGCATGGCCCTATTTCCTCAACTATAAATGGTGTAACTCCACGGGAACATATTCCGCATGGTCCCGTTTCGATATCCAAAGGAGCAGCTACACCCTTTGAGCAAATGCCACAAGGTTTAGCAGGTTCGTCCACTGCTTTTGAACAAACTCCACAAGGCCCTTCTATAACTCCCACTGGCCCCGCTGACCTTTTAGAGCAAATACCACAAGGAGCTTTTTCGGTTTTCATGGGTGCGTCTACTGATTTTGCACAAATTCCACAAGGTCCTTTTACAACCTCCATTGGAGTCGCTGATTTTTTAGAACAAATACCACATGGAGCTTTTTCTGTTTTCATGGGTGCGTCTACTGATTTTGAACAAACTCCACAAGGTCCTTTCACAACCTCCATTGGAGCCGCTGACCTTTTTGAACAAATTCCACAAGGTGCTTTCGAAGTTTTCACTTCCATTGGAGCCTCTGACTTCTTGGAGCAAATTCCACAAGGAGGTTTTTCCAATTCTGTACAAACTCCACATGGTGTTATAACCTCAATTGGAGCCGTTGACTTATTCGAACAAATTCCGCATGGAGGTTTCTCCATTTGTAAACAAACTCCACACGGCGCATTCATAACCTCCATTGGAACCGTTGACTTCTTTGAACAAATCCCACACGGAGGTTTTTCAGCTTTTACCGCTACGTCAACTGCTTTTGAACAAATTCCACACGGTGGATTAACATTTTCCTTTACAGTCGCTGACTTTTTCGGACAAATCTCACAAGGGTTTTCCTCCCAATTTGAACATACTCCTTTAGACTTAATATGTTCAGAAGGAGTTGTTAATGGACTCACTTTTTCAGGTTGACTCATTTCTATTGGTGGCTTAGGTTTTGAACACACTCCACATGGTCCTTTGGTTTTCAATAAAGGCTCTTCAAACGGTGGTGGTGCCGGAACCTCAGTCGAACACATTCCACAAGGTCCTTTTAAGGCACGTTTGACATCATATTGTTTTTTCTCAACGTTTATTTGATTATCTTGTTGCTGTGGTTTCAATGATGATGGACCTATTGGACATGCAGCAGCGTACGGATGTTGCATTTCCATTTGCTTCTGAAGGCCACCAAAGGGACATGTATTTGAAGATACTTTAGCATCCACTCTAACCGCAGACTTGGGGATCGCTGGAGGAACAAGTACCACCAACGATTCCCTAGTTCTATCACATCGTGAATGTTCATGAAATGTACCCGTTTTCTGTATGGGGGGGGAGAATTCTCGTGGCTGCGGCTGCGGCATGGCAAACTTTCCTTTAGAGCACATTCCACAAGGAGCTCTTATAGAAGCATCCATTTGTTTATTTGAATGTTCACCTCCACGTCCACACAGTACACATACGCCTTGACTTCTTGTTTCCGATACTTGAGGTGATTTACCTGCTCCCACAGATTGCACCGACGACGTTGTTATTGTTGTCAGAAATGGTCCTTTGGTAACAGGTGCTAAAGAAGGTGATAAAAATGCTTCAGTCGAAGGCACTTGCTGACGTCTCACCGAACAAGCTCCTCTACAAGTTCCTTTCGTTTTTACCGTCGCTGTTTCATCTGGCCCACCTAATGTCATTAGTGGTGGTGGCGGCGGAACTTGAATATGTACCTTCGACGAAACACCCTTGGACGGAGGGGGTGCTGTAAAACCTTCAGCACCGGATAAAGGTAATTGCAGAAAACCCGGTGGAATACCAACCATTTGTTGCAATAAAGCTGTTTGAAAATTAAAAGCTGGTCCACTTCCTTCCATAGGTATACCTACTAGAAAATGATAATTAGTTAAAGTATGATCTTTTTTATGCCGCCTTACAGCTTATTTCCTGTCGTGGGGCTGTAATTATTGCTGTGCGTATTGGCTCCATCGACGAAAACATATTTGGTATTGGATCCCGGTCTAGCATAGCCGGCGGCTTCCTCAATTCGTTTGATTGTTGCGACACCGAGTATGGTATGTTGTGTTGGTGTTGTCCCTGTACGTGTAGTTTCAGTGGTATTGTAAATGTGATTGGATCAATGCGAATATTTTGCGGTGTGGACGATTTATTTGTAGCTACTTTTGCCGTCACCTCCAATTGTACTGTTTGTGTATGAGGTTTAATATTGCGCACATCACATCGACAACGCGAACCGCACTTCCTACGCTCTTTGCGACCGCCACTGTCGAATTCGACCAACAGCGTCTGAGCAGTAAGAATAACTTGTTTGAGTGCATCGCGAAACATTCGCGAATCTTTTACAGGAGGCGGTGGAACACTTAGGCCACACATTGAGGACACCACAGCGTTTGGCTGACTTATTTCAACATCGCTATAGCAATCATAGAAGGTGTCATACTCACTAGGAGTTTCCGTGAAGTTCGAATCAACAAATAATATCTGCGTTGAATTTCCAACGTTTGACGTAGCAGCTTTGGCCGGTTCAGCTCCTGGTCTACACAAAGTCATGGGAGATCGTTTAGCATCTTTATGCAATTGAGCACATTTCGTCCTATTGCCACACGTTGGCCGATTGCAAGACTTTCTATCTGTGTCCATTATGCGATGAATTGCCAAATATTTTTTAAAATTTTTGCGAATTTTTCTTTCTTGTTACAGCAAATTTTGACGAATAGAAGAAATTCGATTAACATTTCACGAAAGTTAAAAATAAATTCATTTGAATTTGTTTCTTTTTTGAAAATTGTACTCGAATAAGTTGATACACAAATGTCAGATATCTAAAAGAATTCGACTGACGTCAAACTCGATTACTCGATTGAACAAATGAAACATTACGGGGACAGTTCAAACAAGTTCCATTCTATTTGTAAATCAGAAATAAGTCACATCCTTGTAGATAAAGAAAAGAAGACGCATTGTTTCCTGATTTCCATTATTTAAGACATTCATTTATTACAAGTTTTCCCCACAACTTACTGTTTTTGGTCATAGGTATTTTGTTGAAATTTGTAGTATTAAAAAGACATATCTCTACTATGTACATACTCGTCATACACTTCCAAATACATTCGATATTTACAGATTTATATTTTTCAGAAATTTGTTCTTTCATTAAAGGTTCCACAATCAAATCCTGAGTGACCAATCTGCAATGACCTTTAGTATTCACATTGGATTCGTCAAGAGGAGTTCATACTCGTTGGTATTTTCCGAGTTGATTTCTCTTTTTACCGGATAGTAAACGGTGCAATAAAACTCCGACTCCATGCGCTTGGTATGGAAGTTCATAAGTTGTTCATTAATTTGATCTTCGATTTGTTGCATGATCTAAAGAATCGCAAATAATCGATCATTAATCAATGCCACTCAAGTAACTGTATGCCAGTGTATGTATGTTTTTAGTGTTTATACGATATATATTGTATATGAGTACGTAATGGGAATACGCACCAGCACCTTAGTCGGCTTGAAGAGCTCCTCAAGAACATGCAGGCATGACATTGCATTCACAAAGTGCTCATAATTCTCGGCAGATACTTGCTCGTTATTGTTGGTGTCGAAAACAGAATATGTTTGCAATATTTCCAGGCCGTCACGAAACTCTTTATCTGCCTCCCAACGTTTAAGTAGGTTCTTATTAAATTCGGTCACCTCTATAGTATCTTGTATGACCGATGTTTTCAGCAGATTGATGAACATACGAGTCTGTGAAGGCACACAATCGAGCATCCTTTCGGGATTCATATCATCATTCACCTGAACACTGCTCTCCCTACTCTCGATATAGATGCCTTCAGTCTCAGTTTCTTTATCGAACTTGTCGAAATTGGTTTCTGTGAAGGCGTCCATTTTGTGATGTGGTTCTGTGGTGTCTTCCCGCAGAGAATGGAAGCTATCGAAACGTTGAAGTACCTCCGATTGACTTATATCAATATCAATGACATCGTGGAATCGAGTGGGTCGACGCGCGTTGAAACACGAAACTATGCGACGAACTCGGGTTTGGAGAACGCGGCGCTTAATACGTCGCTTTCGGTTTCTTTGAGAAGTTGCTAAGGAAAGACGCTTAAAGGTTTCAGAAATCTTAGGGGTCTCACGTGCACCAGTAGAAAGCATGCGCAACTCGGATGGCACCTCGCTAATTTGCTTTAAACATGTGGGTTTTTGTTTGGGGGGCATGAAAATGGGCATGAGACATTCGTCAATAACGAATTGTGGCATCAAAGCCATTGCAATCGTTAAATCTTGCCCATGTGTAGTCTCTACATCATTTTCATTTGCTTCTGGCTCAATATCTATTTCGGGAATCTCAAGATTTTCTTCAGCGATTACATCGTCCGCCGCTAGCTCTGTCTCAGGGCTTTCGGACTTTTGGGGTTTCTCATTAGTATTTTCTATTGTAATGCTTACCTCATCTTCGGGCGTATCGCCATGCAGCAGACTATCTGCCAAACGTTTTACATCGCGTGCCACACTCGAAAACTGTTGGTGTGAAGGTAGACTTGTCTCACATTCCTATGTAAGTGGTTATATACAAATAAGTAAAAGTAAAGAATAAGTACATAGGGGTATATAATTAGAAAAAAGAAAATTACCTTGAAATTGCGCAATGCATTCCCTAAACCCGTACTAGCGGTTTTTAAATCCTTAACATCTTCACGTTTGAAACGTTTTGAAGGGCTACCGCTAAGCTCCTGTGCCAAACTATAGCCTTCTGAACGTTCCAGGCGTTTTTCTAGCTTCTGCACCATCTCCTCCTTGCTTTTGACCTCGTCTTGGAGTACTCGGGTTTTGTCCTCTAAGTCCTTCTCATTATGTTGCAATTTAATAATTTGCTGTTCTAGTGTTGCCACTTCCTCTTTTAGCTCACTGTTTGTCACTTCAATGTGTAGGAATTCTTTTTTTAATTCAAATAGTTGTCCTTGCAGTGATTCCATTTCAGCTAAATTTCTACACTCGGTCTCTGCCTGCAATTTTCGCATAAAGCTCAATTCATCATTCAAAGTCTTATTACGCTTCTTCTCTTGCTCGAGCTGATCAAGAGTAGGCTTTTGCTTTGCCTTTAACGCATCTAATTGCTCCTTCAGACGTTCGTATTCGCAACGCATAAACTCATTATCATCTAGCAAATCGCGATGCTCCTTCGAGACGCGTACAAGACAGTTCTTTAGTTCGCTCTCAGCGTCTTCCAATTGACAAATCTTTTCATTAGCCGCTCGTGCATCATCGCGCAGACAGTCCTGAAGTTTCTGTATTTTCGCCTTAAGGCAGCACTCCTTGGCACGGTACGCTTCTTCGCGATCCTTGTATTGGCGTTCCAGTTCCACCCAATGAGTGTCAGCCGATTCCATGGCTTCGTAGTGACGAGAATTTAAATCTTTAATCTGATTTCGCAAACACTTAACTTCCTCTTTCAGGTATTGGCACACACAATTAGGCACTTCAGGAGTTTCATTTCTATAGAACTGATTTTCGCAGTTAAAGTTTGCTATTGGAGATGCGTGATCGAAGTGATTACCCGAAAATGCGGGGAGTACATCATTCACGCGATCGGTAACCATTGGCATTACATTACCCATTTTATTATCAATGTCCTCACACAATTCTATCTTGTATGTTTTTCTCGATATACCTGGTTGATATGGATTTTCGTTGGTATGATTGTTTGTCCAATGAGAGTACGCCACCGTGGTGTAGTAGGCTACAATTAAGGGTATCAAACTATGAAGTATCTCAAGATTTTCTTTGGCTTTCTGCTTATCTTCTTCAATATGACGAATCTGCGTCTCACTAACGCCTAAATCTTCGCGTAAAATCAAACACTCAGAACGACAGTCTTTATATTTGGCACTTAGTGCCTCCCTGGACATCTCCAGCTCAACGTTGCGCTGACTGAGTATTTCCAGTTCCACCTCCAGCCGTTGTAGACGTAAACGTGTATCGTTTTCAGCCTCTTCGAATTCGCACTTCTCCTCCTCAAGTGTTAAATTCTCACTTTCTAAAAATTCAACTCGGTCTCTAAGTTCCTTCAATTCCTTCTCTAATAAAATCTCACGTTGCAGACGATCAGCTAACCGCTTGTTCTGTAAATCGCCAGAACTCTCATATATAAGTACTTTGCTTTCCAAAAGCGCGAGACGATCTTTGTAATACTGCAATTGTTTTTGTTCGCTTAAATTTGGTGAGTATTGAGAGGTGTTCGGCGAACGGGCAGGCAAATTAAGGACTCCGCTTTTGCGCGTCAAATCAGTGCACTGGAGCTTTTGAAGTTCGTTGCAGAGATCCCGTGCAGCGTGGGTAACGCCACTCTCGTCCTCAAAATCGGTCTGCGTACAGACGTTATTCTCACTAACGTCGCTCAAGAAATCAGACTCCACGAATACCCCACTCTCACTAAGACTGTTGCTCTGCCAAGATTGGCGAGACTTGCGTGGTGAATCTGTTGGTGTATTGGTGGGCACCAGCTGATTGATACTACAATTATTATTGTTGTATGCGATCTGATGCTGCGGTGAACTATTGTAGGGCGAAACTGTGGCAACTATGCGTGCTGCATTGGGCGATGATGCGGCAGATGGAGCAGATTTTGTGGCCGATTTTGTATTTGAATTGTTGCTACTGCTGACTTCGTGCGTGGATCGAGCACTTGACGCTGAGGATGCTGAGCCGTAATCCGATATACGCGATTTTACCTTTAATTTTCAGATGTTTATTAAGGGAAAAAAGTAATAAAACTCGTTTTATTTATGTTATAAATACACGTAATTTAAATGTTGGAAAAATTGTATTTTTATTTTATTTTACTAAATAAGAAATGTTTGAAATATATTTATATGCGATGACTATTGATAAAATTTTCAAATGCATGTTCATACAATTCAAATAAATATACAAACATCACATTCTATAGCAACTGAGTAGACCCACAATCGATTATTCGCTTATTGATGCTTACCATTTCCAAACTGCTGGCTTCGTCGCTTGAGCACGATGTCGTATTTAACGAGTTTGGTTCGCTGCGCTGCGCCATCATGTCCAAATGCTGCACCAATTGAATCAGCTGTTGCAGGCAGTGCCTGTCGTCGCTATCTAACGCCGACTTCTTTAGCATTTGTGTGATGCGATGGCGTAGCTCTTCATTGGCGGGATCCGTTAACTGTAATACAAAACAAGATAAGATTTAAAACCTTAATTTTGTTGAATACATGTTTTAAATAATTACATTGACTTCATGTTCGTCACGCTGCTGACTATGTGAAGATGCGATGCCCGAGTTCATGTTTGCATCACCGTTGCCACATTTCCCGAAGATCATCTGCATTGGATCTTCCCGACTCGTCCAAATATCCTTTGCAGTGTTTGCTGTGACTGTTTGTGACCTGTCTGTTGTAGTAGGGCTGGTTGCATGGCTCTGCAGTGACCACTAAAAAGAAATATGTAAATATATTTTATTAATAAATCATACAAATATACAGACGACTGGATATATGAACAACACATGAATGTAAAATATCTGTGCTTTGGAGAGTTGTAAATATGAACAGCCAACAAGTGCAGTAAGAAGCAACACAATCAAAACTTTGAATACGGTCCTTAAAAAATAAATCAATAGTCGTACTGCCCTCCCGCCCACAACCTATGTATGTACAATGCTGGGTGTTAACTTTGTTGAACCCAAGAGGGAAAACGTTTAGTTCAGCAGAAATCACAAACAATAGTGGCCCAAAAATATTAAACGAACATTTAAGACGCACCAAAGCTTGAATGTAACCTGTGAAATGAAGACTTGAGGTGTTTGTGCTTGCGTTTGTGCTTGAGAGCTTTTGGATACAGAGAAATGCAAGATTCAGTGGCAATCAGCTAGCAAATGCTGCACACAAAGTCATAGCTTCGCTTATTTGGCAATAAAATAATCGTTGCATTATTAAGCGCCATAATTTTTTTGCATCGCTTGCGTGTTACCACCAACACCGCCAACAAGTTGCCGCACAAAAACCAGCTGCGTGTCTGCACTTCACCATTCGCTGATCACTCTTCACCGTTTCACTGGTTTTGGTGTTGATTTGCACAATTAAAATGCACTCAGCTGCATCTACAACAAACACACGCTCATTTGTTCGGGTTTTAATTTTGTTTAGTCGTATTTTGTCTATTCATAAATGTTGCATTCGATTGAACTTCTGCGCAGTCGTACGCTTGGCGAGGTTTGTTAGTTGGTCGGTCGGTCGGTCGGTTGTCGGTGGATAGTTTAATTGATTTTCAACTCCAATGATTTTTAAGGTTTGCAAATATACTCACTTACGGTATATTTATTGTTGTTTTTCTCTGTATAAAATCTGAAAATTGCGGTTAATAGTTTTTCGCAAAAAAAAACCTGAGCTAAGCGAAATAGGGGCAGCGCGCTTCATAGAAATTTCACAACATTTGCAGCCCAAATGGTTGTGGATGAATTCCGAGATTACTGCCAATGGACATGTGCGCTGTAGAAAGTTTATGAATGTACTTTCGGAAGGAAACAACGATTTCATATCTGTTCATCAAGAATTATCGCCGTTAAAGAGATTAAAATTAAATTGCGATTTATAAAAGTAATGAATATTTGATGAATTGTAATTTTATATGCATAAATATATATGTATGTGTTTTTCACCCGATTGTAGTAGAAAGCATGCCATTCTAACACTGTCATAGAAGGGTATGAAAACATTTTTATCTTGATTTTTACCGATCAGTTTAGCATAAAGCTGCCATATGCTATAGTGATCCGAGCTGAACATTATGTTCGAAGATTGAAGCGTGAGGAACTAGTTCGCGTATATATAATGACCTTACGGTACTAGGTAAGTTGATATCGGTGAAGATACGCGAAAATTCGAGATAGTTTTTGAACAAAGCACGTATTTGGCCAAAAAAAAAACACAGTAATGGTGCCGTAGCCACCGTATTATACAGATCTGGCCCCCTGTGACTTTTTTTTTCCCAAAACTGAAGAGACCCATGAAAGGATGACGCTACGCTACGATTGAGGGGAGTTAAAAACTGCCTCGAAGACCGAAGGAGAAGCTGAACAAGATCACAAAAAATTACTTTTTAAGTTCTTTGAGGATTGAATAAAACGCTGGCATAAGTGCATTATATCTATGGGTGATTACTTTGTATGGAACAAAATAGATAATCATGAATAAATAAACACTTTCCTAAGAAATACAAAACTCTCCATACTTTTTGAACAAACCTCGTATACCTCATAGGGTCTCCAACGTTTTCTGGATATTACAAACTTCATGGCATACTTAACATACCCTGTTTAGGGTATGAAAATTGCATTCTTTCTTTTACGCATTACTTGCAAATACGACTAAAGCATGACAAGAGTGATAGTTCAATCGCTTTCCAATAACAGTTACATATATGCGCTAAGAAAATTTTCGCTCGCTCACGTGCTAAGAATGATGATTGAAAACAAGTGGCCTAAAATATTTTAATGTGTGCCCGTGAAGCATTCTTTTAGTAAAATGTGAAAAAGTATAACTGTTAGCCACCGTTCGCACAGTAGTCCATTCAAATCTTTCACAATACTCAACTAAGCTAAGTAGTAAGTATTTCACACACATTTACACAATTTCCAACTGGAAGTCATTGTTGATTTAGCATAATTAATGAGACTACCTAACTCATTAGGAACTTAATGCCACTTCACACTTCATTAATTGATAGATAGATATAAAATGAAAAAATGGAATGATAATTAAGTAATAAAATGCTGTCACATGGCGGTTTTGCGTTGCGTTCTCCTACCTTTACGTAATTGCCTCTAGACTCTAGAGTCAAGAGCAACTTGAAATCAGTGCTGTTAATCACCAATCAGTAACACAAAAGTAAAGGGCAAGCTCTGCTTAACCGTCTAGAAACTCAAATGCTTCTAAGTAACACTTGCGTATATAATATTCTCGAAGAATGTTATAATAATCGTGCAAATGTAAACGAGCTCTCAAGTGGCTATTGTAATTTTCCCTTTCAAATACTGTTGTGTGCGTAACTAATAAGATTTCAACGCATAAATAATAATAACGTCTCGTCAAGCCGTCTAACAAGCACTTACTAATTTACCGAGTATTAAACAAATACGAGTAACTCGCTTTCTACATCAGCATTTAAAACAGCAAAAAATTTAATGTTAAAGGTAAATATTTATGTTCAAAAGAGTTTTGCTGGGAAATTTAGTAAATTTCTACAATTAAACCGACAAATGGTGATTAAAAGCAGAAGTGGATTTCATTCAGCGGCCATTAATGTGTTGAAGTAGCGACTAAACTTTTTCTTATGATTAACCTGTGAATCAAGTGCCGTTAAATCTTCCATGTTATAATGGAAAAAAGACAAGTATATATGGCAGACTATTTTTGAATGCGAATTAAACGAAGATTTATTGTATTTACCAATCAACTGAGACAAAATGTTTTCATCAAAGTGTTTAATTGCATGCGCCCAAATTCAAATCAGTGTCCTTGTAGTAGTTAGTAGTTCGAAAGCTTTATGATTTGTTGTTCACCATATAGATTTATACATGCTATATGTGACTCATTATTGTTTTTGGTTTTCAAGTTGGTGGTGCAGCTGTCATTCGCCTGATAATGAGTACCAGCGCTTAGAGCAAAAGGTGAAGACTGCCAAAGCAATCTGCAATAGACCACCCTTTCAATCGACTAATCATTCGGCCCACATTGATTATTAGACACTTGAAAAGTAGACAGAAACAAGTTGCAACGAGCTGCTGACTGTGGCATAGATAATTTATCAATTAACGCTTATATAATTCAATTGTAGAATATCAGTTTCATGGACAGCATCGCAAAGATGAAAGAAAACGATTAAGAAAAATGTGAATCAATTTTAAATACCGTAAAATATATGGTTCATAAATTACTAGTCAAATTAGCGTAGCTCTTAGAAGAAGTCCAAGACTTTATACTCATAATTAGGTGTGCTTACATATAACGATAGTGGCGCCGAGCGGCTACCAGCTGGCTTGCTACCGACAAGTCACAATTCAATCAGCCAAACAAAAGGCTTGCGGGAAGGCGAAACCATAAACACCTTGGCTGAGTAAATGAGCCATTTATATGTAAATCATATGTATACACTCATATACATATGTATGTATATATGTAATACAATCGAATCCCGCTAAGATAAACCAAGCGAAATAGACGGGCTTCAGTTGTAAAAAAATATTAGCAAAGAGTCAAGGTAAGTAAGAAATGCAGGAGAAAAAGTTAAGAATCAATAAGCTGCATCCATTACAAAAATATTACATTTCTATACAACTCTTGCAACATAATTCGGTAACAGTATGTTACTATATATGTTTGTATAATGTATAAACGGTTGAACTATGTTGAAGATTTTACAACACGAAGGCGTTGTTTGATATCCATGCTTCCTGTTAGCATAAAATTATTGGATAAGTATATTCATCGAATTTGCTACAGATTATAATCTTGAGATGTAACCAAAGATTCTCCAGGCAAAAGATCTTAAGGTAAATACGAGGGGAAATATATTTATTAGACTATAAGCCTCACATACCCTGTAAACGGTATATTATGTTTGCCACGATGTTTGCAACACCCAAGCGAAAAATATATACTCGTAAAGTATACTTATAAATGACTAGCGTGACGAGCTAAGTCGATTTAGCCATGTCCGTCTGTCTGTCGGTACGGTATATACGCGAACTAGTTCCTCAACTTTTGAGACATCAATCAGAAATTTTGCACACGTCCTTTTCTCCCCAAGAAGCTGCTCACTGCCGATATCGGATCACTATAGTAGTATATAGCTGCGATACAAACTCAACAATCCAAATCAACTTCTAGTATGGTTAACCTTTTATTTAACAAGATCTCTGAAGAAATGAACATCCAAGGCAACTCTGCGAACATATTTTGCAGATCGGACCACTAAAGCATATAGCTGCCATACAAACTAACAGATCAAAATCAACATACATTTTTGTATACATTTTAATGCTATAAGAAATGCGCATATGACGGGTTATATGGCTTTGGTGCAGCTCTCTCTCCACCACACTAGGGTCCCTTCTACTACTACTTCACCCACTTAGATTAATCATCAGCTGATCAATTTCGTTTCGAATGTGTAGATGAGCACTTTTAGGCCTTGACACCTATCAAAACTTGTTAAAAAAAAAAAAACTTTCATGCGGGAGAGTGGCAGCTTGCTAACTAACCGTTGGGAAAAATAATAAACAAACAATAGATCTCTTAACTATGCCTCATATATATGCTCTTCATGCATGCACCACTATTTATGGTTGTTATTTATTTGTAGAATTTCTATTTTTGTGTCATTCGCGCGAAAGTTGGCGATCGATATTGCTGTGTAGGTGTACATATATTT